TCTGCACTTACATGGAACAATCTTTGGAGTCATCTGATCTGTTTTGGGGGTTCCCTGACAGCCTCTTTTGCTGGGGTCCCTCAAGACAGTATAGAATCTGGCTGTGGTCTCACTAGCTAGCAAAGCCATGCACCGGGTAGTGCTTTTCTCAGAATATCAACCCTTGTTCTTAAAACACCTTTTGTTTTTTAATGGCGAGGGAAAAGGTGTAATTTGGGATTCCACAGTGCCTTGCATACAGTAGGCGCCCAATAAATATTTGCTGAAGCAAACCAAGTTTCCCAAGTCCTCATCTCCTGCGGTGACCAAGACATCTTTCTCCTCTGAAGGGCTTGGCAGTTGTGGCTAAAAACTAAGCAGTATCGTTACTGGCTTGAAACCATATATACGATTTGTATGAATTTCGGTATGTTGCCAAGACACGGTCTTTTTCTTATTGTATTTTCTGTAAATATTTCTGGCACTGAACTGTAAAGTAAAGGCGAGATGTAAATATGAAGGTGTACCTGTGTCCCCTCGCCTGCTGTGTTTGATATTCGTCAGCTAGGGAAGAAGGTCTAGAGGTCTGTTTGTATTTATCTCAATACTTTGTCCAGAAGGAACCCATGGAATATTGAATGTAATACATTTAGTCAATTAAATTTTAAGGAGATTCTTATCTAATAACTGTGTGTGATTTTGGTTACAGGCTGGGATCTGAATTCTGCATGAGTGCTCTTAATTCCCTTTTTCTGGGGGGATAGGCTTAACTTTTACTACCCTTCATAATTTAGACCTGTGAATTTTTACCTTGCAGCTGGGGATTGTTGAAGGGCAGATGACTCTGAGCCCTGGAATTTTCTGCTGAAGAACTGGGCAGTCCAGAAAGCAGGGAGAGACAGAGAAGAGCACCCGCTGCCCCAACTGCCTCTGTGCAGTTGTCTGCAGAGGGCTCCTTGGGACCAGATCATATGTGGTGGGCTGTGTGTACCTCTTCTGAGAGTTATCCCTCCACCAGCTGCAAATACCTTGACTCTGAAACTCTTTTATTTCTTTAAGGTTTATTGGTACAATTTAGGTATACATAATGACCACATTCATTACAGGGAATTTGTATCTGTACATGATACATCTTGTTTCCTGTTTTTTTTTTCCCCCATTCTCATCCCCTCTTTTCAAACCCCCTTCCTCTCCCCAGTCACAAAGCTGTTTTCATTTTATCCTTTTCTTATTTTTTTCTTTCCCTTCCTTCCTTTCCTTTCCCCCTCCCTATTTCCCTTTTAAACAGTTTCTATCTCATAATATCTATTGTATGTTTATGTTCTTGTTTATATTTCCAGTTTCTCACACCAGAGAGAATGTGATATTTACATGTGTGTATCTGATTTATTTCACTTATGATTATGGTCTCTAGGTCCATCTGTTTAGCTATAACTGTCTCAATTTTATCTCTCTTTATGGCTGAGTAATACTCCATTATGTAAAAAAACACATCTTGTTTATCCATTGGTTGATGGGCATTTGGGTTGCTTCCAAGATTGAGCTATTACAAACTGCTGCTGTAAACAAGAGTGTACGTATATTACTGTGGTATGATGCTTTTAATTCTGGGAAGACACCTACGAGGGTAATAGCTGGGTCAGATGGACTGCATAATCCTAGTTTTTTTTCATTCTCCACAGTGATTTCCACAGTGGTTTATCATTCTACACTCCCACAACAATGGAGAAGGGTTCCTTTTTCCCCACAGCCCTGCCAGCATTTGTTACTAGTTGTTTTCTTGATAATAACCATTCTCTCTGGAGGTTGTTTCAATTTGCATTTCTTAAATGACCGGTGATGCTGAACATTTTTTCATATATTTATTTGCCATTTGTACTTCTGAGAAATATTTATTCATCTCAGATGCTCATTTTTGGATTGGTCTGAATTTGAGGGTCTGGGTTTTTTTTCAGTTCTTTATATGTTCTAGATACTGGTCCTTTGAAGAACAGCTGGGATAAATTTTTTCCCACTGTGTGGATTGTCTTTTCACTCTGTTGGTGATTTCTTTTGCTGTGCAAAAGCTTTTTAATAGGATGAAATCCCAGTTGATTATTTGTGATAGTTCCTCTGTGATCAAAGTTTTGCTTATAAAGTCTTTGCCTACACCTATGTCTTCCAGAGTTCTACCTATTCTATCTTCCAAAAAAATTTAGTGTTTCTGTTCTAATAGTTAGACCTTTGATCCATTTTGATTTTAGTTTAATGCATGGTGATAAACATGGGTCCATTCGTGATAAAAACCCTACAGAAAATTGGAATAGCTGGTCTTTATCTCAATCTGATAAAAGCCGTGTATGACAAGTCAACAACCAACATCATACTAAATGGTCAAAAATGGAAAGCTTTCACTAAAATGAGGAACAAAACAAGGATGTTCACTATCACTACTCCTGCTTAATATAGTACTGGAAACAATGATCAGAGCAGTTAGACAAGAGAAAAGGAATAATGATAGGAAGAAGTTAAATTATTATTTGCAGATGATATGATACTCTACGTAGATCCCAAAAACTCCATCAAAAGACTTCTAGATTTAATAATCAAATTCAGTAGCTAGAGGCAAAGTCAGCACTCAAAAATCAATAATATTCCTGTACATAAGTAACAAACCCACTAAAATTCAGGAAACAGCACCCTACAATAGCATCAGAAAAATTACATAGGACTCATGTAGCAAAGGAAGTGAAAAAATCTTTACATGAAAAACTACAGTACTCTGAAATAGAAGATTGAAGAGGATATCAGGAAATGGAAAGTTATCCTTTGCTCTTGGGTAAGAAGTGCCAACAGTGAAAATGACCATACTCCCAAAATTGCTATACAGGTTTAATGCAGTTCCAATCCAAATACCATTAGCATACCTCACAGAACTAGAGACAATTCTAAAATTCATTTGGAATCAAAAGAGAACTAGAACCACCAAAGAAATTCTGGGCAACAAGGCAAGGCAGGGCATCACAATCCTGGACTTGAAATTATACTACAGAGCTACTGTGATAGAAACAGCATGGTATTGGAGAAAAAACAGACCTGAGGATCAGTGGAACAGACTAGAAGATGCAGAAAGAACTCCAAATGCGCTCAGCTACCTGATCTTTGAGAAAGGGGTCAACCGCATTCACTGGAAGGATAGCCTCTAATAAATAGTGCTGGGAAAATTGGCTTTCTATAATCCTAAAACTCTTGGCTGGGAGATGCCCCTGGAATGTGTGGCCTACTCGTGCTGTGCCTGCCCACCACAGAACCTCCAACAGGATTGTACGTCCTGTTTTGGTTCATAGCCTGAAAATGTGTTAAGAGTCTTGCCACCTCTCCTGCTTCACTCTGATCTAACCCCTTCAGGACCCAGTTCCTAGAAATCATGCCAGTCCTTACCACCCTGCTTCTGGCTTTGGCCTCTGGGCCCTGTGTCTGGCACAGCCTGCCTGAGAACTGCTCTTGGATGCACGTTTGAATCCTGTTTGCCCAGGTCTCCTCCTATGGACACTTGCTGTTCCACAGCAGGACTTGAACTCTTAAACCACTGGTCCTCAGGCACCAGCTATCTCTTACCCTGCTTTATTTTTTTCCTGTGGCTGGCCATGTGCCCTTCTCCCTGGACAGTCCCCCATCTCTACCTCACGTCACACTGTTTATCATCCACTTCCTGCAGCTGCACCCCGGCCTGGAATGACTGCCTGACATCAACCACAAAATACAGTGATTTTAAAATCAAGTCTGGATCAGAATCAGTGTAGACTGTGGATACTAAGCCCAAGCCTTACCATCCAGAGGTTCAGACTCAGTGGCTGAGGGCAAGGCTGGGAATTGACATGTTTAATAGGTACCCTCCAGTCCTCCCCACTTGCTGGCAGTGACTGAGGCAGGTGGAACAAGGACTCTGTTGAAAAAGCCCATGCAGTGGCCACTCTTCCCCAGGCCCAGCATGCTCTCAACCTGGCCACAGTCTCTCCCTACAGCTTAGGGGCTGCTGGACCCCAGGAGGGGGACAACCTCCTTCCTACTATAGGCTGGAGGTTTGCTAGCCACTTCAACAATGGATGAGTAAGATGTGAGGTGAGAGGAGGATGAGAAGGGCATTTGGGAGTATCCTGCCCCACTTAGGAGATAAGGGAAAAGCCTTCACTGAAAACCCTAGAAAGTACAAATACAGAAGCCTCCAGAGTAATCATTTGTTCAGGGCCTACTACTATGTGTTAGTAGACAGGTTTTTTGTACTTTGAGACGGTCTTGTTATGTAGGTCAGGCTGGCCTTGAACTCACTGTGCAGCCCAAGGAGGCCTCAGACTCACGGCAATCTTCACAGCTCCAGCCTCCCAAGTGCTGAGATTACAGGCATGTGCCACCATGCCTGGCTAGATTAGACAGTTTTTAAATGGCAGTCCAGTGATCTATCTAATCCAGCACAGCAGACATTTTATTAAGCAAAGTTTGAGCTAAGATTTTACATGTGGGAGATTTCACATAAAACCCAAACTTTTTGGTTCTTTTGGAAAAGTTACAAGATCTGGCAATGCTGAACCCTTGTAGCTATTACTGGCTGAAGCTATGACAGCTGCTTGCCTTAGAGACACAAAGCTTCCTCAGTTTGCTACACAGTCAGCACTACTCCCAGAAGTGTAGACAGGTGCATGTGCTGCTGGGGGACAGGACCTGGGACCCTGCTGGGACTTGTGAACATCTACCCAGGAGTAAGTTTTGTGCCATTTTCTTTTTTTCTAACTTCTATAATTATTCACTTCAATTTTACAACAAAGAGGATCAGAGAGGTGTCACATGCACCCAGTGACAATTGAGGCTTGGCTCTTTATTCCCAGCCACATATCTCACTGTCCCAACTCCCAACACACATCCACAGCAGCTCTCTCCTGGTTCCTTTCCACTCTGACATCCTTGTTATGTCACCACCTGGTCACAATTGGGCTGAGGGCAAAGAGTAGCCTAGCCTACCAGTTCGCTGGGGCAACACTGCCGGCTTAGCCCAGGGTGGCCCTATGCAGCCACACATGTGCCATGAGATACCCTCTAGTACCTCTGCTGAACAACCTCACATATCCTGTCCTGGTTTTCTGCCTATGCCTGCCTGTGGGTTTGCTGGTGTTCTTGTTGATCATCTGGTTCTGCTTCTTACTTAGCCAAGGTGAGCTCCTGACTGGGTCCTAATCTAGGAGCTGAGCTAGAGCAGGATGAAGCATCCTGAAACACTGCAGAAGAGTTTTGCTCAGGCATTGTAATGTGGCTCAGATAGTCAACTGTAAGGGAAAAGGCCTGATTTGATAACTTAGGGCTTGCTTTCTGTCTGTCTCTCTGTCTCTCTCTGCACTGTGCTCCATTCCCACCCCTTTTTTATGTTTGAGACAGGGTCTTGCAAGTGACTAAATTGCCTAGACTGGGCTCAAACTTGTGATTCCTGCCTCAGCTTCCTAGATGTAAGTACAGGCATGCACCACCATGCCAAACTAATTTAGGGTTTCTTCACCTAAAGTCTAAGAGTGAATCCGAATTTGACTATGAAGCAATGTCTGTCCTCCAGGGCAACTACAATGGCTCGGCTTCCTTGTTAGAGAGCAGTGGCCCCTCTGGGATGATGAATTAGCAAAAAAGTGCCCTTTCCTGTGCAAAACGTGTGAGCAGAGTATGGGCTGGATTTCAGCCCCGCTAACTCCCTCAGCCAGGTGATTTTGTGCAGTAAGCAACTTGTACAACAGGATGGATCCACCTTTGGGGTTTTTCAAGTGCCCGTAGATTGTACCCCAGAGAAGACCTGGGTTTCTTTGGGTTGCAGGTACAAGAAATAGATTGACATTCGCTCTGACCTAAGCGTACAACCAGGAGGAGCAAGAGGCAGGGGAAAGCTGACAGGGAATCGGGCAGGTGGGCAAGGATGTGGCCTTAATATGTGGCAGGAGTGGTACTTCTGCACCTCAACACCCTGTCGCTGAGCAGCCCCCTTCACCCAGGGGCCTCTGCATGGGGACTGCCTGACCTCCCACCTGCTGCTGCTCAGCTCCATGGCCTTTTGGTAGCCAAGCACAGAGGCTTCCAGGCCTGCATTACTCAGTGTTCCCAGCAAGAGCCTAGGAAGTCCTCTACCTTCCAGAAAATGTTTGTTTAAAGCATGTCCTCCAGTCAGGTGTGGTGGCTCACGCCTGTAGTCCCAGCACTCTGGAGGCTGAGGCAGGAGGATCGTTGTGACTTTGAGGCCAGTCTGGGCTACAAAGTGAGCTCAAGGCCAGCCTGAACTGCATAGCCAGACCCTGTCTCAAAAAGACCAAAAAATAATAATAAAGCACATCTTCCTGATATTCCCAAGGTGGACCACAGTGAGGGAGGGACACAGCTTGGGCATTGGGCCTGATGGCAGAGACTTGTGTGCTAGGTCTAAAAGCTATCTCTTTAGGGCCTAGAAGATGAAAGTTCTGATTTCAGTCATTTCCCCTAAGAGTTCCTAATAGTAGCTAAACTGTTTGGGACACTGAATGTGTACCAAGTCTTGGGCTAAATACATGACATGCATTATGTCATCTAATCCTCACAATAACTGTGTGAAGTAACTCTTACAGTGGAGGAAACAAGCGTGGAGAGAAGAAACCTTCCCAAGGTCACACACTTCTGAAGTACTTTGAAGTGCAGACTTCAAATCCTGGCTCAGCCACCTGCCAGCTGTGTGACTTGGGCAAGCCTTGTCTGAGCCCCAGCTTGCTCCTCCACAGAACAGAGTAATATAGTGCCTGCCCTTTGGGGCTGTAGAAAGGCTTCCATGGTGGAGGGTGCCTGTCATCCGCTTACAAGGGCAGTTAGCACACGTACACATAGGGCACACAGGTGCTCTTAGCCTATGAAAATAATTCACTCAGTACTGGTTTTGTCACAGTGGGAAGCAGTTTAGGGTAGCTTTGAATGGCTTTGCCAGAGGAGACACCTTACCTACTACACAGAGCATTTTGGAATAAATCCTTGTAAAATTTACAACAAAGAATCTCCTAAAGTGAGATAAGCGGTCCTCTCTCAGGGTCCCTGTCTTCTTGGAACTCTCAGTATTATTGTATATGTTTTGGCCTTGTGCTGGGGACTGGCCCAACACAGAATCTGGGGCTGCCAGAGTTTAGAGGCTGTAAACTTGGGAAATCCTAGCCCATGGTTTTCTGTTTTGCTGTGTGTCCTTTTACTGGAATCACTTTGGCCTGGAATCTCATATAAAAAGCAGACAAGAGCTCCTGTGATGCCTCCTCCCCATTCCTGGCTCAGCTGAACCTGGCTCAGCAGGTCAGTATCAGTACTCCAAAGTGACAGCAAATGCCATGGGGCTGAGAGGATGCACTTTCCCAAGTGGAAGGAGGTGCAGGTGGGGAGGAGAAGGGTGCAACCAGTGAGACTGGCACAGAGGCAATAAAATAAAATAATAAAATAAAATAGTGGGCAGCTCGGCTCCTGGGGAAGCTGCCAGAGGGGACAGTGCCCACCTCTGACTATGACGTGGGAGAGGATGGAGCCATGTGGCCCCCAAGGGGAAGATGCTGTAATGTGAACTTTCCCCCTTTGCACTTTGAAAGGAATTTGCTGAAGAGGGAAATGTCCAGAGGTAGATTTGGGCTGAAACAGGAGGGACATGAAAGGCTGTGCCCTGGAATGTCCTTCCACTTGCATTGTGTGTTTGAGCACAATGTCAGGGTTGCCTCTGAATCTCCCAGCTTCAAAACAGGTGAACCCAATGGAACTCTGCAGGACTGAGGCACCATGAGGCTGAATTTGTACTACACCTGGCTTGCAGCCAGGACAAGTCCTTTCAACTCTCTAAGCCTTCTTTATCTTTTTTTTTTTTTTTTTTTTTTTTTTTCCCTGTACCGGGAATTGATCTCACGACCTTGCGCTTGCCAGGCAGGAGCTGTGCTGCTGAGCTAAATCCCCAGCCCCTCTTCTTTATCTTAAGATATGAAAAATACTACAGTTTGAGCATCCTTAATGCAAAGAATCTGAAATCCAAAGTGACCTGCAAAAAGTTTTGCATTTCGGAACATTTCTGATTTTGGGTTTTTGGATTAGGGATGCTCACCCAGTAAAATCTATGCATAATTCGAAAATCTGAAACACTTCAGGTCTCAAGCATTTCGAATAAAGGATACTCAACCTGTAGTAATTTGCCTTCTAGAAACTAGTGAGAAGATAATTGAGAAAATGCAACCAGTGACAGAACACGAGACTGTAGTAAAAGGTGTCTTCCCATCTCATCTCCTGTTCATCTGGCCTTCCCCACATAAGCCAGGTCAGCAAATCTGTGCACCCCTTAATAACCTACTAGTGTTCAGAAACAATGGGAAGGAGAGCAGTATTCTTTTAGAGTGATCCTGCCATGTACATTTCTCTGTGACTTCCTTGTAACATGCCATGGACAGCCAGCAAGTCCACAGGTACAATCATTTTACCAGCTTCCACTGGGTAGATGGACCCAGTCTCTAGTCACCCTTATGATATACATGCACACAGTTTTAAGGATTCTTTTTTTTTTTCTTTTCTTTTTTTTTTTTTTTTTGGTGTGTGTTTCCCCAGAGGACAGTGCTACACCGAGAATCATTGTAAATGTGTACACGGATATTTGGTAATGAATGAACTAGAGGACAAGTGGGTCAAGGATTGGGTGTATGTCCCTCAGCACCTCTTCCTGAACAGTGCCTAATACAAGAGGTCATTTGCATACCTCCAGGTCCGTCTCTTGCCAATAGATGGATGGGCCTCTCTCTGAGTCATGGGATAACCTTCTTTTTAGGTTCCTGGTCACCATTCAAGGCCATGAAGTCTACAAGAGGTCCCAGGACTGGACCTCATGTCATAGCTCTGCCTTGGCCTCCTGTCCTCCAAAAAGGATGCAGGGATTCTAAGCCTAGCAGGGGACTCCTTTGGGACAGGGGGTGGGAATCAGGACATAATGAGAGACCTTGTCTTGGACCATTGCAGATTCAGAGGAAGGTGCACCAGATTTGTGCTTCCACTGGGATTCCTGGAGCAAAGGCTCACCTGACCTTTTCTGGGAGGGGACACTACATGGGCAAGAGGAACAAAGGCTCTCCTAGTGACGTGCTGTGCCATGTAAGGCTGTTGTGGGGGAGGGGGTTCTGCCCAAAGTCCTTGGCCACTGCTGTGTTTGAGCAGGCTCTTGCTTGCTCTCATCAGGGTAGAGAGTTTGGTATCAGCTATGCTGGAAGACCAACCACCTCTGCTGTGAGGAGCTTCCTTACAAAGACTAAGAATTAAGTTCATGAACTAAGGTACCACTGTATGCACTAGATCTTCATAACAACCCTATCAGTTGGAACAGGGTTCCACTGGATGAGGAAACAGGTTCAGAGTGGTTAAGTAACTGGCTCAAGGTCACACAGCCAGGAAGCAGTCTATTTTTCTGAGTCTTAGTGAAATGCATTTCTCAAATGCACAGTAATACCCTTTGCTCCTCCTAGACTCAAATAATACCACTTCAGATTGTGGCACTTATGTCTGCAGGAGGCATGTACAAACTCAGCAAGCCTGAAGAGTGCAGAGAGGCCATATCTGATGGTCTTTGGATCTGTCATCCATCCACACACCTATTGTCATGTCTCCCAGGCATTCCCTTATCTTCCATCCTGCACCCCGGGACCACAGACGTGAAATCCCACGTGCACACTGCTTACTTCCCAGCCCTTTGAGCTTGACTGGCATCATCTGCAAAATGGGGCCAACCCCTCTCATTCATTTCCTGGAGGCGCCATAACAACGCATATGAGCTGGGTGGTTTAGAACAACAGAAGGACTATCTCAGAGTAATGAAGCCTGGGAGTCTGTGTCAAGGCACCTGCAGGGCCACACTCCTTCTGAAATCTGTCCTTCCTTGCTCTTCCAGCTCCTGGCAGCTCCAACCCCGACCCTTGGGCCAATCAGCAAGTCCATGTTTGGACCGGTCTCAGGCCTGTAGCTACTACATAACCAGCACTACCCTCACACTTCTGGCTTGGTCTAGAAAGGCTCCCTCTGGTGTACTAATCCCCTTGTGCTGCAGCCCAGGCCCTGTTCAAATACAGTGTCACTCCAGGGGTCCTGATAATCTTCTCATAATTTATTTCTTGGGTAATGTGGGCTTCGAGGGTCCTGTAAATGCACTCCTGAGTAGTGTGGGCAGAGTGATAGCTTTAAAAAGAGCTGTAAACACCAAAAGATGTTCTCCCTGAAGTGCTCCAGAGATGAGCCCCCAATAAGATTAGCAACAGAAACCAGTAGTCTGTACTGTGACTGGCACTGACTGGGGGCAGTCAGCAGCAGCGGAGACCAGCACTGGGCAGGGATGACTGACAGTGTCTGGCATTAGTTGGCGTTGAGCAGCAGCATCAGGGCCCTGAGCTGTAATACTAAGGACTAATGCTCAAAGTCTGGAACCACTAGCAGAGCTGCACTTGGTCAATTCAAGATTTCTGTCTGAACTGAGCAAAAGAACCCTCCACTGACTGGTGACGGGAGACCCACTGCAACACATGAAGAACTCTGAGCACAGTGCTCAGCAGTTTTGTGAGTTCTCCATCAACTGCTATCAAAAGAAAAAGCAGAGCACTGGGAAGTGAGGTGCTCTGTGTACATTAGGGGCCAGGTATAGTTTAAGTGCTTGACAGGCATTGTCGCATTGAAGCCTTACAAACATCTCTTAAGACATTCAATTCACTGTGATGAGGAGGCTGTGTCTCATAGAGGTTAAGACATTTGGCAGAAGTCACACAATCTAAGTAGCAAAACTGAAGATCAACCCAGGCTGACAGGGTTCCACTGTATCACATGGAGCGGGAGGCACTGGAGTGGGAGCCAGAGTTGTGTGGAGGGGTGGAAAGGCAGGGAGGAACTGCAGAGCAATGGCACTTAGGCCCAGGGCCTGTCTGGGTCTAAGAGGCATGGACTAAGTATGATAATGCAGCCTGGCCGCATAGCAGGCTGCCTGAGGAGGAGCTGATGGGCAGCCGCATAGAGGGGAGCCTCCACTGTAGTCTGACCAGCCTGGATGATACTCCAGGCCTACAGCAGGGCCCAGCTGGGCAGCAGGATGTTGCCGGGTGCAGAGGCAGGAAGTGGTATTTCTGGTCAGATGATCCACAGGGCTGCTTGCCTAAGATCTGGACAGCTTTCTCTACCTTCCCACATTCTTCTGCGGGGCTCCCTGAACCTAGGGAGAAGGAACAGCAAGGTAGGTTTGCAGTTTTAGATTTGAAGTTCATTTCTCAGGCACTGATTTGTTTATTCCCTCAGATATTCATTCATTCATTACTCATTCAGTTAACGGCTCACTGAGTGATTCATTCATTCTCTTAATGGTTCACTGAGTGATTCACTCATTCATTGATTAACCTGTGCTTTTTCTCACATTCAGGTACAGAACCATTCACTCTTTCACCTATCCATCTGTCCACCTGTCATTCTCCCTTCAGCTGTCTTCCCCTCCATCCCTCCCTCTCAACCATTTTCCCATCCCACATTTGATTTTCCATCCATTCCTCCACCTCTCTCTCCATCCTTTGTTAAGCACCTACCATGTTCCCCACACAAAACCTCTTGCAGCTGCAAGGGAGTTGTGCACTGGCTTTGATTGCTGATGCCTTCCACTCGCGTGGTTCCATGTGTCCTCCTTACCCAGTCTGTTGAAGGAAGTGATGACCAGTTACTGGGACTCTGAGCTCCTGAGGGGCCTCCCCTCTTTTGATCCAGAACCATGCGTAGTCCTGGATGCTGCAGCTCCAGGAGGGCAGTATTTCTAATTTCCAATTTCTCAGGGACTGTATCTTGCCTTCCCATGGACTTGGGAAAACCCAGGGGCCTCTCAAACGCAAATATGCTGCAGAAGAGGTCACTGATGCCTCGGAGGCAGGCAGTGGGCCAGGACAATCTGGAGAGGACCATGGTACTCCTTCCTGGTCTGGGAGGAGGCAGTCGAGGTCCATAGCAGATGCAGGGATAGGACAATGCCAGGATGCTAAGAAGAATGCCCCCCACACATCCCCAGGACCCCTCTGACTGTGGGACCTGCTCCCTGCTCTGTCCCATGGAATCTTTGGCTTTCTGTTATCTTGGCTGAGAAGCCACCTGCATCAAGGAGCTGTCCTGTAGCTGTCCCTATCCCTATCAGGTGTCCGTAAATTCCTGCTGACTGATGACCAAGTTCCCTTTTTACAGACAGGAGTTAAACTGGCCCACTCCCCCTCCCCAGTCTTCCTCAGCTGGCTCAGACTCCTTCCCGTTCCAGCCCAAATGCCAGGCCCAAGGAGGCCCTCCTGTGCCTCCATATCCTACTCCTCCTGACTTCCCGCAGCTGTCCCCAAGGCCTGCCCTTTGCACACCTCTGCTTCTTTCCTGTCACTACCATCTCCACCACACAGAGGAGGAAACCAGGCTCAGAGAAGAGTTAGCAGGAAAGGCCAGGCCAGGATGAAGAGCCCTGGTCACCACTGCTTTAACCTGCTCTCATTGGCTGGGTACTATATTCATTTAGAGTGGCCAAAGGGAATAATAGCAGCATTGCAAATAAGATTTCATGACTTTTTTAAAGGTGCCACTTCTGCTTCACAGTTTAGGAGTGAGAGGGTTGTCTACAGCCATACCACCCTGGACGCGCCTGAACTCATCTGATCTCGGAAGCTAAGCAGGGTCAGGCCTGGTTAGTACTTGGATGGGAGGAGTGGCAGGGTCAGGTGTGTGTGTGTGTGTGTGTGTGTGTGTGTGGCTGTGGCAGAGCCAGCCCCATCCCAACGGAGATTGGATATTGGCTGCTCTGTGGGTGTCTGGAACAGGGTGTGTTGTGCAGGGCCCATATCCATCTTTCTGCTCACACTGTGATTCAGTCATCCCTGGAGACAGAACTGGCAGCTTACCTGAGCCTCAGGTGCCAGCCCCTGGCAAGGCCTGGTGTTCTTCTTGCTGCTGGGATGAAAGGGCTGGCCCTGGTGTCTCTTGCCTCACCCTGACTGTGGAGCCCATGGGCCTACACTGCCAGGCAGCCAGGGCACTGTGCCCAGCACTTGGCACACCTGGGAGGCAAGTACAAGCACTATGGGCAGGCATAGAGGTTTGGGCCGGCGGGGGAGGGGGGGCAGGGCTCACCTCACTCTGTCTTTACCCTGCCCTGGGGGGCAGAAGGGTCCTCCCAGCATGCAGCTGAGGAACCAGCAACTCTGGTTCCAGCCCTTGGTTCCAGGACCTCTGGTTCCCAAGGCATGGAGGTTACTTTACACGATGGTCTTGCTGAGGGAATTGCAAACCTAGACCCTTCCAGGGACCTAGCACAGCCTTGAGCTCCTCCTGCTGGCCCCCTACAGCGGGTACTGAATTTAGATGCAGAGATGTGTGAGCTTCTAACTCTGAAAATGAGGGCCAAAGGCCTCAAAGGATTCTAATGGGGTCTCAGTAATAAACAGATGTGTGAGCTGCTATTTTCCTTTCCTCTGGAAGCAGAGAGTGTTACGTATTTGGGATATCTTATTTGGGGCTCGGGATTCAGGAGTCTTAGTTGGTCCATGGAGCTGTGAGGCTGCCTTGGGTAGCAGCTGGGTCACCCCTCCTTTCCTTTCTGAGTGCCACTTACATAAAATGGAAAGTAAATTATTGCCCAGAACACCAAAATGCCAACCATTCTTGTTGTAATATGCCTTATTGCCTTTTGAGAGAACTTCTACATAGCATGAAAAGAACTGGCATGCACTTAAAGACTGTAAAAATAGAAAACAGTAAAAACATATAGGTAATGCAATTCTGCATAAAATATACACAGTATCTTACCATTTAAAAAATTTAAAAATACAAGCACACCCTGAATATAAGTTAAAACCTTATGAAAGAAAAATGCCCATCTCTTGCATATCCTTGTTAGAAAACTGGTAAGATTTGGTAGTGTAGGGAACAGGGAAGATATGTAATATAATCATTCATTTAAAATTAGTTCAAAGAATTTTCCAAAGGTTGTAAATTGCTCATTATACCATCTTAAAATTGTATACCATGGATATACTTTCTACTATTTAACTGGAGGACAAAAGAATAACTTCAAGAAACTCTGAAAATGAGGGCC